AAGTCCTGTGATTTGGATGATTTTGTTGTTTAAAAAAAGCCTCATCCACCTCTTGTTCCTGGTTAGGTGGTCTGTAGTAGACTCCTACCATGACATATCCTTGTTTTTTACCCCTTTTATTTTCACCCAGAGACTATCAACAAGTCTGTTTCCCTTTTCATCTCAACCTCAGTCCAAGTCTATACATCTTTGATATATAAGGCAACACCTCCTCCCTTTTTCCCTGTCTGTCCTTCCTGAGTAAGCTGTACCCTTCTATACCAATATTCCAGTCATGTGTATTATCCCAACAAGTCTCTGTGATGTCAACTATGTTGTGTTTATTAACTAGCATTTCTAGTTCTTCCTGCTTATTCTCCATACTTCTTGCATTAGTATACAGTATACATAATTTGATTTCCCCTCTATGTTCTTTCTTGTCTCTCTCCCTGATCCCTGCTATAATGGCCCATGCTCCCCCAAGATTCCAACCCTTTCCCCACATCTCTATGTTTTTGACTTGTCTGTGGGCTTTAATCTCCTGCCCCCACTGAACCTAGTTTAAAGCCCTCCTTGCTAGGTTAGCCAGTCTGTATCCAAAGATGCTCTTCCCCTTCCTCAATAGATAGACCCCCATCTTTGCTCATAATCTAACATATTTATGCTCTCAACACCCCTGTGAGGTAGGGAAGCACTGTTAGGTGCTGCATACTGTCAGGGTTTCAAAGCATTTTATAGACCATGAAACTATACAACACCCCTTTGAGAAAGATAGTTCCCAACCGCATTTTACAGATGGGGATCTGAGGCACAGAGATAAGTGACTTGTCCAGTGGAACTGGAATTGAACCCATATTTCCCAACAGCCTAAGTTAGCACTCTCGCCACTGGACAATCCTTCCTCTCCCAGTCCAAGACAATCTGGGTTCTTTTGCTGCTACATATTCACTGCGAGAGCTGTCATTATTTGGTGTCTTGGTTTCTTCTTCTGTAGAATGGTGAGGATATTTTCTCACAGGAATGTTGTGTAGTTTGTCTATAAAATGCTTTGAAATGCTCAGAGGTATTCAAAAGTAATTATTTCCATAGCCTTGGAGACATGTTATTCCTGAATAACTTTGCTGGACAATTTGCAAGTGGGAATAGAAATACAAGTACTTTTGAGAGGGTTTGGAGATGAGTGCAACCAATAATAATTGTTGCAGTTGTAAAACTACCATAGGAAAGGATGAGGAAGAAATCATAGAGGATGTTAATAAAGGCAAAAGGGAGTTTAAGGTGGAAGGGGTGAGTGAAAGCCAGTGTGGTGCAAAACTTTTGTAAAAGACCCAAGACATGGGCAAGGTTTTCTAACAGACTCTTAAACTTTTAATTGAAACTGGGCCACCTTTCTGGAAAAGCATGTATGGTTTCAGGCAGGTGACAATCCTTCTCTATGGTTCAAATTCAGCACTACCTGGACACTATATAACCAAAAAGACGGCAAATGAAAGAGAGCAACAAAAAATCAGTGTTCTGGAGGGACTGACTTGTGAAAAGAGGTAAATGTGTATAGATTAGCTTATAGATAGCTAAGGGCTAGTTAACGTGATACATTTACAAAGATTTGAAACAGTATACACCTAAGAACAAGAAGAATTCTTTCAGGTTATACATAGAGGTGTAACTAGGAACAGTCAGATGAAAATAAGAAACTAAGAACTTCCTGAAAGTGTTTGATTGGAATATTCTTCTAAGGGAAATGATGCAAGCTTCCTTGTTTGGAACATTTAGAACTGGAGTACAGAACAAAGGAAAATGGAGGGTGGATGTAATGGGTCTTTTCCACTTTAGTTTCTTTGATTAACCTGTAGGTAAGTGATCTTGCACATACTGGGCGAAAAATTCCTGGCATTCCTCACAGGAAACTGTTTTTGCTTTCAAAGAAATGAGACAATAAAAAAAAAAGAAATTCCCAACTTTTCTGGCATGATCACAAGTCTCAGCAACAAGCTAAGAAACATAATGCTGACGAGTCTACATTTTGGGTGCTCTCTTCCTTCCATTGGAATAAGAAAAATTAGTGTTAGTTCGGAAAAGGCAACAAAGAAAAAGATAGTCCATCCTGACATGGGCTAGATATAACACACATAATGATCCTCTGCTATTGGCTTCACCAAATCTTCAGTGAAAAAAGATACGCAGCCTGCTTAGACTCTTGAATATAAGAGTCTGCTGCAAAGGCGTAGAGCCAGCTTGTACCAGTGCATAATTTAATTCAAAAGATTGTGAAGGAAATACCATTATTAATCCTTTTAATTAGTTATACACAGGTAGGAAAAGATGGGTGGTTGTGGTAGGGACGGGGGGAGAAGTGAACATCTAAACTATAGTTTACGTCTGCTGCTAGTGACATAACAGCAGAGAAGCACAAATGCTCCTCTCTGACATGATAAAACCATCAGAACGGGGAGTCCCTAATTCCTTTTTTGCCTCACACCTACTTTCAAGGGAAAACAGACAAGGGAGATATAAGGGAGGTTACCCTGGATGGGTAAGGGTGGGGCTTGATAAGCTAGGGGGCAGAGTCAGACAACAGTTCTCTCTGCACCTATGAAATCTGCCATATGTAGCTGAGGAGCAGAGAGGAGGAGAAAAGGGACGTACAACAGGAGAGAGTATGCGCTGCTTGCCAGATGGTTTCAGGTTTTTCTTCATTTTATTTCTGTCTGTGTGTGGAATCTCCCTTTTTTAAATTAAGCACGCTAGTAAATGTTTTTTATGTAGCCTTGGTTGCAAATGCTGGTTAACAGACCTTTGTTAGTAGCACTTGTCTGGTTACCCTTAAGCCCTGTAAAATGAATTGGACTGAGTGAGAATAGTTCTGATATTTGTTTAACATAGGTTCATCTTGTGAATTGGGTGGACTGAAAGGCTTCTTGCTTTAAATTTGCAATTGCTCCCGATAGCTTTTTAGCACTGAGGGAAATGGCTAGAGAAAATGAAGATTAGAAGTATTTATCCATCAGCAGTGTGATTAAAAAGGATATTTTTCTCATTGCAAAATGCATTAAGAAAAAAAACAGTTCACTTGGTAACAAGTCCACTACCCCATGTAAACATTTCATGAAATACTTTGGAAGAGAGGCTCTACTTAGAAGTATTAAAATGACAATTTATTCACTCATGCACTGAGATCTTAGCAACAAAACGAATAAATTTAATTTGACAAAAGGCAGGAGCTTAAGGCTAAAATTCCATTTTAAATTATTCTGTTATGCTGAGGTAATAGCAGATCATATGGTATGTTTGAGGCCCCTCTGACAGAGGAGCAAATCAACTGCAACTAATAGGCATCCTGACTTGAGTTCTAACCATCATTTCAGCATTAATTCCAGTATTGCCTTGCTTTTGTTAGGGTAAGCAAAACCTATAATGTTATATTTATATTTTATGGACATGTGTAAGAACTGAGGCAATTTTAAAAATGTCCTTTCAGAAAACAGACTTCTAACACCTGCAAAACTGTTATATTCTGATATAAAAATAAATGTAGACATATGTTAGCACGTATTAGACTATAGCTATTCAAGTCTGTCTTATGAAATACAGGGCCGGCTCCAGGCACCAGCCCACCAAGCATGTGCTTGGGG